GGTAGTTTGCTCAACATGAGAGCAATCTGGAGTAGCATCAACAATAACCGAATAATACTTGGCATTCATTAGTTCTTCTAAAATTGTCTGTCTCACATGATATGCACAGGCAGATATAAACTCATTCTGAGAATCACTGGATAGGTAATGCACAGGTAACCGCTTTCCTTCTTTCTGTGATTCAGCCACTTTAATTACATGCTCTCGCAACAAGGGATCATAATGACTGAGAAGCTCCATAATACCTAGGAAGTTACCATTATCTCTATGACCTATTTTCTGTGTCGACCCTCGAAATGCCAATCCCCGTTCACCCAAAAAGAGAATAACATCAATAATCCTCTTCAGAATCTCTCTCCACCTTAATTTCTCAGATCTAATGTCGTCACTTAATCGAACATCTATACCATCATCGTGTAGGTGCAACTCTGCTTCTCTCCACCGAATGTAATTCTCCCTGTGAGTAATGCTTTTTTCATGCATTGGAATTCTATCATACAGCTTTTTCCATCCAATTTCGGTAGACCATCCTGTAACACTTGACAAGTGACTAACTTCACTGCAAGAAAAAATTCGACAGGGAAAACAAAATAAAGCTGTCTTTTCCTCACTCCAAACCAACCAATCACGTTCCACGTAGTTGCCATTCTGCAGTTTAGAAGTCAAAATTGATACGGGAAATTTTACGTTCTTACTATCTCTAGGAAAAGACTTTGGATAATGAATCGGACCAGAGAGAATGGTCTGCTTAACTTCAGAATCAGTCAGTGTGGTTTTTAGCAGTTTACCAATGTCACACCCATTCGGAGTGTAACAAGTGTCGGGCTCCTCATGTTGTGCCACGGATGCCTGTGTCAAAGCGTTGTTGAGCGGACTGGATGAAGTACCATGTCCACATAAATCCATCACAGAGTCAATATCACTATTGCTATTCTTGTCGCTTAACTTCAAGTCATCACCAACGTTGGCAAGATCATCACTGCAGCTGCTTGCATCATCATCATCAGTATTAAGATTGTGAGCTGTGCTACTGCTACTGTGCGGGGTGCTGCTGGTTCCAACTTTATGAAAACCAACACTAAACAATGTGTGGGAATTTTTAAGAGCAGCAGTTTCCTTTTCCTTTCTACGCTTTCGCTTCTCAGAGCCAGACAAATATGATCTTTTCATTTTAATGATTGTGCTTGCACATGTGCCTAGGCATATGCATGACTGCCTAGCCACACCCCATACAATTTTTTGTAATAATAAAGAAAATTAATTATTTATTGCAAAGGGCCCCTAGTTTTAATCTTCCCCTGGGCCCCATGTCTTCTCTCAGCGGGCCTGCTTCCAGCCACCAAGCAGAAGCAGAGCCAGCACCTGAAGTATGTTTTAATGAAAAGACAAGGGTAGGTAAAACTTTAGTATACCTTACCGTAAGGCTTATTGCCATTGCTACTTGTACACTGACGTAAACGGAGCCTTGCCAGTACTGAAAAGCCATGTGTATACAGTGTTATAGTGTAATGGATTATGTGCCTGCATGAGCACTAGTGTTTACTTCAGGTATGTAGTCTTGTACATACTAACACAGTGGATGGCTTTAAGTTTGGTGTAGAGAATTTCAGTTTCTGGAATTTGTGGCCATGTGCCATTGAGCATGCACATAATAGCTTAAAATGTTGGATTTTTTTAATGTGGCAAATGGCTATCAAAACACAAAACTATCCACTATATGGAATTGTAAGTTAGGTATAACCATATGGATGTGGCAGCCTGGTGAGGTCCTAATTTTTTCTTGAGATAATGTGAATCATTACATCTATTTCAGAGTTTATGAATAACTCTTCATTAATTTGCCTATAATTAGCAATTCAAAGATCAATAATGTACATTATGTTATGCGTTATATCATATTCTCTTCCTTTCTCTTTTCCTTTAAGAGAGAGAGATACAGCTCTTGGTAGTGATTTTTTCCAATTGGATGATTTTAAGAAACACCGGGCAAAATGAAAGACCTATTATAAGTGAAGGCATTGGAGATACACATGTCTGTTAGTAATCATTTTTACTTTACCATTATTATATTTAAATTATCTCTGATCTTTGTCCTTTTTTAGATTTGGGTGTACAGGTTGTACAATATGTATTGGGGTTTGAGTTCAATTTAATGTCCTTCAAGAATTATCTCATAATCTACCAGTCATTGCAAAGTAAGTAAATAAGAAATAAGTAAAGAAAAGTAAAAATTAATAAGCAGGGTTTCATAGAAAGGGGGCTGGCACTGGGATTCCCCCCCACATTAGGTTTCTCCCCCCCACAAAAAATTTTTGTATAGAAGCCTGCTCAATAACTAAGAAACGAAACTTAACTTATAATCAAGCTCTTCACACAATATTAATTATGAAAGAAGTAATCTAGAGGAGTTTTAGATCCAATCTGCTATCCAGTCCTCCTTTCAAACAAAAAAATGGAGGCTGACTGACTCAAGTTGTGTGAATCATTCACAAGACTGTAGCTTACCAAAAAAATTTTATAAGTTGACTTTAGTTTCCAAAGCTAGTGAAATAGCCTTTAGAGATAATTTCTAGCTGTTAGAAAGCTTAAAAGTTTGTCCTGTTTGAGCGCCACTATCTTATTCATTGTGACCACACCCTCCCATCATAATTATAGGGTCCATTTGGTCCAAGTTTATTTGCAGTATTTTGATTAAAAATTGTTAGCATTATGCATCCACTTATTATCAAGAAATAACGCAAAATAGACCTAGACAGATTATAGTGGGTCTCGCTCATGCTTGCTCCAATAATTTGCATGGAACTCTGTAAATCTTTTTTGTTGGTGAGTTATACATGTAGCTACTCGAATTTTGTCCCGATTTAAGTGCTGTAGCAGCAGTTCACTAGTCTAAGGATCCTAAACTCTCTTAAATTAAAGGTTGACTACAGTGGCTTTTTGAAGTATTTTTTTGGCTTAATATAATTACCTGAACTTTTAATGAAGTGTGAGAACTCCCATTATTCAAAAATATTAGTCACTGAGATATGACCTTTCATAAATGCTTTTTTGCTTCTTGCCATGTTACTTCATGTCAGTGGGCGTGGCTAAACATGATGTCATTTTGGTACATAGATAATAGAGTACAGGGATTGGTAACTACATAGGTGGTGGTTATCAATGTATAGATTCTAATTTTCTGCATTCAATAATTACTATGGTAAAAGTCAAAGAAGCCAAATTTTGCCAGAGAATGACAGATTTATGGGAGTTCTCAAGGGAGATGATCTGAAAATGTTGTGACTGGTCTAGGCAGTCTATACTTAATGCATCAGCATTAGCTATTTCATGCCCTGGTTTATATTTAATACTATACTGATAAGTGCTAAGTGTTAGGGCCCACCTCTGCAGTCTTGCAGATGCCATAAAAGGTACTGGTTTAGTCTCATTAAAGAGAGGCTTATGGTCTGAACAAATGACAAATTTATGACCATATGTATAACTGTGAAATTTCTTCACTCCAAATACAATGGCTAATACTTCTTTATCCAGTTGAGAGTAATGTTTCTCAGCTGGTGTCAGGCTTCTAGAAGCAAAACTAATAGGATGCTCTGAGCCATCACTCATTTTATGGGACAATACTGCTCCAATCCCGTAAGGAGAAGCATCAAAGGCTAATATGATTGGCTTGCTATCATGAAAATGAATTAGCAATGAGTTTTGTTGAAGTAATTCTTTAGCCTGTTTAAAAGCATTTTGTTGAGCTGTATTCCACTGCCAAGCATTGCGTTTCTGCAATAACTTATAACAGAGCTAATAATGTGGAGAGATTTGGCAGAAATTTAGCATATTAATTTAGCATACCCAAAAATGCTCTAAGCTCAGTAAGACATGTTGGTGTCTTTGCTTCTTGTATAGCTTGAACTAGGGATGATGATGGCTTAATACCTTCCTTGGTTATTGTATAACCTAAGTACTCAACTTCCGAGGCTAGAAAAATACACTTCTGTTGCTTCAATTTCAGACCAACTTGACTTAATTTCGATAAAACTACTTCCAAATTTTGTAAATGCTCTTCAATCGTAATTTTTTTGCTATTACTAAAATTGCTCCTATTCTGAATTATAAATTTAACATCACAAAGAATTAATTGCAAAATAGTAAAGAAAATAACGAAGATTTATGTGATGAAATCGCCTATGTGGCAGAAATGCCCCATCCTACCTTAGTAGTATAAATGATTGTATCATTTCACTTACCAATTCATTCTCCTCTTTTATTGTCATTATAGGTAATGGACAGGCCTTGCTTAACTCCAAACCTACAGTGGTCATGACAGTGTATGGTATGCAATATTCACAGCATTTTGTCTGACAGAACTTTCCATGATGTACTCCCTCATTTGCCCTTCTAAGTCGTTGGTCTTAGACACAAGCTTCTGCTACTTGTATGTGTAATAAAACTGAAATGACTATTTTTGGGTGCTAGCTTCCTTCTCTGCAGGAACTACAGGACCTCAAAGGACACTGAGACCATTGGACTTCTGAAAGTTATGTTTTATATGTGGGACAACAGCTATTGTGTTTAATAAAGGTTTGTACATGTATGTGTCAAAAGCCTCAAAATGTACTATAACTTAATTTACATATGTCACTTTCTCATGTCATTAATATGATACCTCCCTACTTTTTTCTGACTGTCCCTCTACCCTCTCTTTGTATCTATAGCTCCTGCAAGCAAGCTTATATATAGTCTTCTTTTGATGCTATCATAGCTCTAACTATCATAGTCAACTAGTGAGAAGAGTGTGTCCATTCAAAGAGCTGAGAGAGAGAGGAGAAAGAGCAACGATTATGCTTTGATTTATCTAAAATAATAGGGAACAGAATATCACTCATTGTATTATCAACTGTTATCTGATGGTATTTACTGTTCAACACTCATCATTTTAATAATTCATTATTGTTATTTTTTAGATAAAATTTAAAAAAATAATGACAATAATAATGTATAATGACAATAGGTACAAGTTATGAACTCTTACTAACAATCATTATTATTAATGACAATAATTATAATAATATTTCGTTTGTTCTTGAGTAGATTTTTGTATTATTCTAGTTTCAATTGCAATGGTATTGAATTGCTGGGTGGGTGAAGACAGTGTTTTTCTAACTACCTGTTCATAAAACAATGATGTTGTTATTTTTAAATCTTCTCATTATATGACTGGGATTGTTTCAATTTAGGTTGCAAATTAAGGTCTTAATTCTGTGCACTAAACTGCTAGACTGACGATCTGATTGTCTTGAGAGTAGTTCTGCGGTAGGCTATATACTTGCCCTGAGTGCCCTCAAATATTTGGACTTGTTCTTCCTACTTATTCGCTTTATATGCTTTGTGTGTATTTTCCGAAGTATTTCTTTATCTTACAAGAGTTGCAGAGTTGTATTAAACTCCAATAGGGCGTGGCTCAATGTGCTGAGCTACGCCTTTTCAGCTCCACCCTGTCACCTTTTTGCAAGTAAACAATGGCAATGGAAATTACCTCTCCTTCTTCTCTCTTTCCTTTTCCTTTAAGTCGTGGTAGATAATATCAAAATCACTGAATAGTTATATTTTATTATGTAGAGCAGCTTATTGATGTACTTAATCTGTTGAATAGATGTGCATGGTTTCCCTCAAAGGAGATCGAAAGAACTAGGACTACTTAGCTTCTCATCCACATGTACTAATAGTACAGTATCTCTATTATCATCAACTAAACTTCATACACTACACCTGAGGAGACTTGAGATATGGCGCACTCCATTAACTAATGATTGTATCCAGTACTTGTGTACTCTACTAACTAATAATGAAACAATACAAGAACTAGTCATCAATGGCCACTCTATTAGTGATAGAGGAGTTACTTATGTCTGTCAAGCACTTGAACACAACTCTACACTTACCTTATTAGATCTTTATCGCAATCCTCTTATTACTTCTGCTAGTGAACAAGCTCTTTCTCACCTCCTCTTCAATAACTCATCACTAGTTAAACTTGATCTATGGAGGACTTCATTGTCATCTCACTCGATACTACGTATTCTACAGTCTTTATCAAACAATAATCAGAATTTAACAACACTCACACTAGACAAGCAACATGAGAAGACTTGTATTAATACTATTCCTAGCTATCACCT